GAGAGAGAGAGAGAGAGAGAGAGAGAGAGAGAGAGAGAGAGAGAGAAACCTTTGCAGTCAGAGTGAAAAGTGAAACTAAGAGAAACAGAACAGAGAGGGGCCCGGACTCTGATGCCTACCGTCAGCTTCTGTGAAAGACACACAACCCGGGTGGGAAATGAGTAGGTTCTGAGCCCGGTGACAGCAACAGGGCTCCTGAAGCACGTGTGTGTGTGTGTGTGTGTGTGTGTGTGTGTGTGTGTGCGCGCGCGCACGCACGCGTAGCTGCGTGAGGATGTGAGGTGGCTGCGCTGTGCGCATCCGTGAGTGTGAGTGCGTGACTCACGGCACACTCTAGGGTGGTATAGAGGACCCTTCCAGTCCTGTCACGGTCCGGGAAGTTTCTATTTGTAATCATCCCATGGAAAGGCTACTGGAATTCTAGCCAGCTGATGCCAATGTACCACTTCCAGCATCCAAGGCGAGAATAAACTCCAAGGCACATCTGTAGTTGTGGGGAGCCCAATAGAACCCTAAGCCCTGCTGGGATGACGGCTGTCTGGAGCAGAGGCCTCCCCCCAGGGCTGAACCCGGGTTCTATTCATTGGTGAAGAAGGCAGTGGCTTGAGGGTGGCAGTGACTGTGAGAATGGCGGGAAGTGGGTGAGCGCTGTGAGCCAGGCGGGCGGGCGGGCGGGGTAGGAGGCCCGAAATCACCTCTGCAGTATGCAGAGAGGGATCTGCAGCGAGAGGGATCTGCGTGACACAGCTGAGGTAGGATCCAGTGTTCTGGGTGGGCGCTTCAGCTCTGACGTGTGAGCTCTATGCCCTGGGAAGCCACAGCCTCTGGGGCTGATCCCAGCCCGCAGCGTGGAGGGTGGCTCTCCCTCCTGCCGGCTCCCACAGCTCTGCGCACATCGATACATGGAGACAGGGCCTGGCTCAGCCAAAATGGCTGTAACTGCCCTTCTTTCAAGGAATATTGTCCAGATGGTCTGTGTGTGTCAAGATGAGGGTGTTCATATGTCTGAGTGCACACATGAACACACAAGTATGCAAGGGCATGTGTAAAGCAGTGGGTGTGAGCAGGTGTGTGCCCTAGTGATTATGTGT